ATGTCTTTATCTAGACCTCTATAAATGCCCTTTGCCTCCCAGCTCTTTCCTCTATTTCCCTTGACTTTCCTCCTGTCCCATTATCATGCTCAGTCCCCACCAGGGTTTCAGCAATTCCTCTTTGTTACATTACCCTTGATCATGCCCTACCAGGCCTCCCACACACCCACCGCACCACCAATTTGGGTCACTTGTTGTTCCCTTGTCCCTGGGTTTGTTAACACCTGAGATCAAAGAGAACCAAATAAAGTGTAAAATAGCCACATGGGCTCCTGAGTGTTTATTTACTATCTCAACCTACCTGCTATACTTTGATTTACAGTCCTATGTAATTTCCGTGTGGCCACACTTTGCAGTTGTGCTCACTGGAAGCTGGAAAAGTTGCCTTTCTTCAGTGAGCCTGAGAAGAGGGACTGTCAAAACCCAGGGCTCTTGAGTGAAACCGAAGCACCTACTAAGACCGGGATTTCTTTCTTTACAAGGAGACCAAAATATTCACAACAGGATCAATGGGTAATGTTATGATACACAGAGAAAAGAATAAAGTGGTCAAGGATTTCATCTTGCTTGGATCCACAATCAGTGCTCATGGAAGCATCAGCCAAGTGATCAAAGGGCACATTGCATTTGAGTAAATCTCCTGCACAAGACCTCTTTTTTTTTTAAGACCCCTTTAAAGTATTAGAAAGCAAGGAGATTACTTTGCAGATTAAGATGTGCCTGACCCAACCTATGGTCTTTTCCGTGGCCTCATCTGCATGTGAAAGTTGGATGTTGAATCAGGAAGACTGAAGAAGGATCCGTGCATTTGAATTGTGGTGCTGGAGAAGCACATTGAACGTACCACAGGCTGTGACAAGGACAAACTAATCTGTCTTGGGAAAAGTGTGGTCACGGTGCTTCTTAGAGGCAAGGATGGTAAGGTTTTAGCTCACGTACTTTTGACTTGTCAGGGGAGACCCTGGAGAAGGACGTCGTGCTCAGTAAAGTGGAAGGGCAGGGACAAAGAGGAAGACCTACAATGAGATGGATTGACACAGGAGCTGCAACGAGGGGTTTGAGCAAGGCAAAAAGCGTGGGGATGACGCAGGACCACGCAGGGTTTCATTCTGTTGTGCACGGGGTTGCTATGGGTCAGAACCGGCACAATGGTGCCTAGCAACAACAACACATAATAATGGAGTCATCCCCTGTGATGTGGTCTGATGTGATTAGCCAATCAGCTGTAAGGGGGTTAAGGTGGGATGCAACATGCTTACTCAGGTCACAACCTTGATCAGATGTAAGGAGAGCTTCCCTCGGGTATGAGAAGCCTGCACTACCTTTTGACTTTTAAGAGGAAAAAGGACAGAGAAAGAGGCAGAGGGAGGAAAGGACGACAGTACTACGGAAAAAGAAGAGCTGGGCGTGGGATGCATACTTTGGACCCAGGCCCTTGTGCTAATAACCTTGACCCAAAGGAGGATGGATGCCAAACACATGAAATTCCCAAGGAATGCTGGGCCCTTGGTGTTGAAAGGAGGCAAGGACCCTCACCCAGGGCCAACAGAGAGAGAAAGCCTTCCCTTCCACTAGAGCTAGTGCCCGGAATTCAGACTTACAGCCTCCTAAAATGTGAAAGAATAAATTTTGGATTGTCAAAGCCACCCACCCATGGGACATCTGTTATGCCAGCACTAGAGAACAGAGACAGCTGGCATATGTATGCTACTCCTTCCGTGTGGCATGGCTTCCCTCCTCTTCACTTGAATTACTTCCATTCATCTTTAATGGCTATCCTAAGGCACCCCTGCCTCTTGGACTCTTTGTATGATTCATTCTTTCCTATGGACTCCCAAGGAAGCCTGTGCTCAGCATTACTGAGGGATTCGTCACACTGAATTGTTGGGGGTTGTTTTCTTATCTTTCACTGCTAGTCTCTAAGCTTCCTTAACTGCAAGAACAGTTCTGATTCATCTCTGAACCCTAAGTTCCAGGCACCTGGTCAGTGTTCGTTATGCATTTAGTGAACCA